CTATCCACTGAGCCAAATCAGCTAGGGCTTCCACTCTGATCTTTATTATTCCTTCCTTCTACTTCTTCTGGGCGTTTGTTGTTGTTCTCTATTTCTTTTAGTTGTAGGGTTTATCACTTACTAGAGGCCCGGTGCACGAATTCGTGCATGGGTGGGGTCCAGCTGGCCTGCCCTGATGGGGGCCCATTGGGGGCGGGGCCAGCTGGGGGGAGGGGTTGCAGGACGGCTCCAGGGCATGTCCGCCTGTCTTGCTCAGTCCCGACTGGCGGGACCCCAGCAGCAAGCTAACTTACTGGACAGAGTGTCTGCCCCCTGGTGGTCAGTGCACATCATAGCAAGCAGTTGAGCAGCCTCAGTATATCATTAGCATATTATGCTTCAACTGTTTGATCGGACAACTGGACGACCGGACACTTAGCATATTAGGCTTTTATTATATAGGATTTGAGCTTTTTCTTTTTCTTGAGGTAGGCCTATAATGCTATGAACTTCCCTCAGGACTGCTTTCTCTGTGTCCCATAGAATTTTGTGTTCTTGTGTGTTCAATTTCATTTATTTTCAGGAAGTTTTTTATTTCTTCCTTGATCTAATTGGTAACCCATTCATTGTTAATAACATACTATTTAGCCTCCATGTGTTTGAATGTTTTTTGAGTTTTTTTATTGTAGTTGATTTCTAGTTTTGTGCCGTCGTGATCTGAGAAGATGCTTGATATGATTTCAATCTTTTTGAACTTATAAAGACTTGTTTTGTACCCTAACATGAAGCATAGCACACGCATACACACACACACACACACACACACACACATATATATATATTTGCTGGTGAATCAGCAGTGATTTTTGGCAAGAGTCTATTTCCCTTCATCTCCACAGCTAAATTAGCTGGTGGAACCAGCATGTGTCTGGACTGACACTGTACACTTGTATTAAGTCAGTTTTTTTAAATTCACAATGATACTAAATGACTATGTACTACTCATAATCTAAAAAGAGTCTATTTAGTAAAGTCTCTTTAATTAAAAACATAGAGGTAACAAATAAGAGTGTAAGTCCAAAAATACCCATATGTATTCTACTATTGCTAAGTTATTACACAAATGTAAGACAATATTTTTTTATCATCACCATCATAAGGCCTGGCTAAAATAACAGGTGCACTAAAAGTACTATTCAGATTCCTTCAGTTTAAAAGGAAGTTTCAAAATGTAATCCCTAGGGCTAATGATTAAAGTTATTTTTTTAAAGAAATTGAGGCAATGAAGAAGTAAATGAGATTAAGAATGTGTTCTCTGGAAGACTACAATTTAAAATTATACTATATGCTAAATTTAAAACAATGTCTGTAGCTGTCTGAATCTGAAAAACAGATTAATATTTTTAGAAAGGAGTCTGAGGGGAAAACATAACATCCAATTCAAAAGCAGCTGCAGGGGGAAATGTCAGAAGCCAATTCCTGACACTGTTAAACTGACCAAAATACACTGGTGTCTGTCTCCCAGGCTCATGGCCGCAGGGTGCTCTTGGTCTGTCCATCTCCTCCTCTGTGAAGTGGAACTGCCTCCTGATAACAGACTCTGTAACCTCAATAACCACATTTCCATGGAGCAACTCCGAGACAGCCTGCCTGTGGAATTCCTCTCGGAAGTGAAGTTGCAGAATGTCACAGTAAAGTCGCTTCCATATAACTCTTTTTGTTCTAGGCTCAACTCCTGCTTTTATCGCTCAAGTATGGAATTTCCATCATTTGAAGCTGCCCTTTTGGGAATTTGTCTTTTTTCAAAAATGCACTGTAGACTCCCTGTTACTTTCTGAAGAACCGGCCTTGGAGATTGAGACTCAGGCTCCACTGGTTTGCTTAATGCTTTAAGGCTAGTGTCACCCTCCAGGCGTCATCTGGTACGACCAGGGGAAGTACTAAACTCTTTTAAAGATGCTGCTGGGGGCAGGTGCCCAAGCCAAGGCCCTATAAGAAGGGGGCCAGGCCAATGGAACCTGTCCCATGGGTGGCTGGTGGTTGCTCAGTGGGGGAATGGAGTTCTCCACAGCAGGCAGTCTCTTCTATGCGGTATAGTATTTTGGCCTCATTCCCAGAAAGTATACTATGTAAACAGAAGTTTGCCTGCCTTTAGACCGCACCTGCTGATATTCCCACAGGGATGCTAAAATTACGTACACACATTTGAGCGCCTTACATTAACTGACTCTCTTACATAAGTGCTGGGGTGAAACAGCAGCATTTTCATCATTGCTGGTGGGCTATGTTAAGAACGGCTTTAAAAGTCAGATAGGGGGGCAGTAGGCAATGATTCTTAGTGTAAACATTATATCATTGGGCAGCTCAGTATAATGTCACTAGCGGGTCTCTGGGCCAGATGGCCTTGGTTCCAATCCCAGCACTGCCACTTAGCTGAGTGCCCTGGAGAGGTTAAATCAATCTCTCTACACATCAGTTTTCCTCTCTATGTTAGGGATGATAGTAGCACCTAGCCACAGGGGTTTTTGAGGTCATTTAGAGCTAATATAAAGTTAGAACAGTATCTGACACAATAAATATCATATAATTATTTGCCATTATTTTTCTATGTATTCTGAATTCAATTAACACTTGCTTATATGATGCACGGATTATTTTCAGCAAGTTTTCGATTCTGAGATAATGCACCTTGCTATTCAACATCTTTCCTAAATGCTTTGTTTTCTTTCTTTTTTTTTTTTTAATATATTTTATTGAGTTTTTACAGAGCGGAAAGGAGAGAGATAGAGAGTTAGAAACATCGATGAGAGAGAAGCATCGACCAGCTGCCTCCTGCACACTCCCCACTGGGGATGTGCCCGCACCCCAGGTACATGCCCTTGACCGGGATCGAACCCGGGACCCCTCAGTCCGCAGGCCGACGCTCTATCCACTGAGCCAAACCGGTTTTGGCCTAAATGCTTTGTTTTCATATTCATCTGATAAATATTTGGGATTTGAGAAAAAGAGATCTGTTGGGAAAGTAAATCACCTGCCAAAATTAAACAAGCCCCAAACCACTCTTCCTGGGTTTTCTCTTGTGAAAATGAACTTCACAAAATGGGAACTTGAAAAAAGTCACAGCTTATTTCTTTTTTAAGCCTTTGTCAGGCAAAAAGAGAGTAAGACTGAGTGCAGTGGTAATGGAACCACAGGACCCAGGAAACCTTCCACAGAGAAGGAAGGGTGCTGTGCCCTGCACTTCCTTTCAGGGCCAGTCTTGGGACAGGAAGCCTGGCTACTGCCTTCCCCATGACCGCAGCTTCCCGGGAGGCCCAGATCGGGGAGCTCTTGTCCCACTTCCCCTCAAGTGTGGTTTACTACTACCCACCCCTTCCCGAGAGACCCTCTGTTGTTCCCCACCTGGGCTTGACCCCTATTTCTCCCACCAGAATCCGCTCTGGAGTTGAGGAATAAACTGCAGTTCACTGTTAGCAACAAGATGACATCTCTCCGTGCTCCATCTATGCACCGGCACCTTTCTATTTATCCTGCTGCCATGCTCTCTCCTGCCACTTGGATGCTTTCTTTGATCTCCATAGCAGCATTAAAAAGCCCTTTACGGGGAGTATGGGTTCCTAGAGAGTTCAGGTTTCCACAGAAGGCACCTGTGGAGGTTGCCTGGACCACTGGGGGCAGAGCCACTGCACAGCACCCAGGCACATCATTCATTCCACAGTCCCCATGAATGGCGCCCCCTGGAGTTGTGCAATGAGATATCTCAGCCTCTGGGAGGACAGCAGTCTGCTGGGAAGATACATTCCTATTTTTAAAAACCAGCTAAAAAGGAGAAGTGCAGTTCAAGTCTCTTGTCTGTCAGCTCTAGTGCCACCTTTCCCTAAATGGGTATGGATGACCCCTACCTTGTCCTTGAACCTCCCACAGCCCACTCCCTCAAACCAACCAGTCTAAAGCAGTAAACTCATAAAAGAGGGGGTGAGGGGAGAGGGGAGTTATAGGGAAAAAGAAAGAGGAATGTTAAAAAAACACAACAAAAAACCCCGCTAGGAGTGGCCATGAGGAGTGAGGGGGTGGGGAAGGTAGGAGCAGATCATATCTGAGAGGGCAGAGCTGCCTCCGGCAGAACCTGCTGGCTATTCTCTGCCCTCTCACCCATTTCAGGGGGAACTCTGGTGAAAGGTGCCAGGTAGTACAACTGCATCTCCAGTGAAGACAGTACTTCGGCTATCCTACAACTGCACATCGAAAAAACAATGCCCATGTATAAAAATTAACTTTCTGTGTTGTTTTGGCTCTATTTCCTCTGCTCTGCTCTAACAAAGAAGGAAGCAGCTCACAGCATGGGAGTGAGAAGCATAAGGGGCAGCCAGGGAGAGGAGGTGACCTGTTCTGCAATAATCAACAGACCAAATCTGGGGTCAGGTGTACCTTAGGGTCCTCTGGGCTCAGCTCTGCGCAGGAGGCCCCAGCACACGCGTCCTGAATGGTGGCCCTCCAGCCAGTGACGGGGAGCTCACACCTCACAAGGCAATTCTATGCAGCTCAAACTATTAAAAATTTGTTTCTTATACTGTGCGGCCTTATAATGTCCAATCCTGGGCCTTAGTTCTGCTCTCTGAAGTCACCCAGAATAGGTGAAATGATCATTTTCTATGAAAATCTTTCAAATATATTTTTAAATTGATTTTAGAGAGGGGGGGAAGGGAGAGAAGGAGCGAGAAAGAGAGCAACATTGATTTGTTGTTCTACTTATTTATGCATTCACTGGTTGATTCTTGTATGTGCCCTGACCATGGACGGAACCCGCAATCTTGGTGCATCAGGACGACACCCTAACCAGCTGAGCTACGGGGCCAGGGCAAGTTTCAAACACTTGAATACCAAAAGCATATTCTCTATAACGTCTCTCTTTTGGAACAGACATGGTCAGTTCTGTTTTTGAACCTTTACATGTAATTGGCAAGAATTCAAAGGAAAGTTTTAAATAACCTGCCCAAAGGTGGCAGTTTGCTGGTCCTTACCGGTTCAGGAAAGCGTTTCCAAAGCGACCAAGCTTTCGGAATGGCTTTTTGGGGTCCACAACTAACGCATTCCCTGGGGTGCTGCCCTCGTTCTCCCCATACATCACAGCGATGAAGGAATCGGTGGTGGGCTCTGGACCAATCCTCATGCCAGGGAAATCTTGCTCCAGTAAGTATCTGGGAGAGGGGGAAAAAGAAACAGTATGTTGTCACAAAGCAAACCATCAGAAAGCTTCCCGGGTCTACCAATTTTTAACATAACCATTTAAAACCTAGAAATATACCTCTCCGCCCCAATGAAGGAGCATGATTTATTCTTTTGCTAATAATGATTTCTCAAAGCTTAAAATAGACAGACCCATCTCCCCCCACCTCCCCAGTGTAAGAAGCCCAGTGAACAAGGTCAGACATCTCGCTGACTGACTGGGCCTTCTAACGCACCTCTGCTCAGCTCAGCAATTCTTGGTGCAACAAGCACCACCCAGAGCAGCGTACCCAGCGAGTTCCTATGTCTCCTGGAAGACCCTGCCCAGGGTCTTCCCTTCCCTCCTTTAGGGAAGGGTCCCTGTCCCTCCAGCATGTTGGGGACACCTCCTCTGTGGGCCTGGCACCCTGTGCCTTGGCCATCATGGTGCTCACCACGGGTACTGCACTTCTCTGCTGTTGTCCCTTGCAGACAGGCCCTGTCTGTGGCCAGAAGCATAGCCCCAGCACCCATCACTGTGCCTGCCCACAGAGGGCACTCCACGTAGTGAACGAAATAATGAACCATCTCCTGCCTTGTCACTGACAGTCTATGAGCCTGGCACATCCTCCTTTGTGCATTTTACAGCTCCCTTGGGCTCCTGAAGGTTGTAGCCATTGAAGAACATTTCCAAATAATTCAGTAGCAACAGAGGCTGCTACAGAGGATGGGGGTGAAAGAGAACTCAGATTAGATATCACCAGGGCCGTCGAAAGCCCTTTGTGCAAATTGGGAAAAGGTGCCCTTTCCTATAGGCAGACACAGCCCCAGACCAGGATTCACAGCTTAGCAAGGAGGACTCTAGCTGGATTTTATGCGCCCCCCTCCCCCGCCTCCACATGCCCCTTTGCTCAGTGACTCTCATGTAGTTTAACCTGCACAACTGTATATAGTGGCCCTAGCAAATGTCATTGGGGATTCTCATTCAGTGGCAGAGGAAACCAGTTGATGAGATACAGGGCATTAGGACCGGCTCAACGACATGTTGGGTTGGGGCAAGTCTACTTTCTGTGGAAACTGGATGAGCCCTAACATAGCCCTCCTACCCCACCAGCACTTCATTCAGATGAAAACACTTAGAGTCCTTCCCTCCCTCCCCACCAAGATTCCCTTTCCATGACGCAGGAAGACGCTGTGTGTTTATGAAAATATGGGGGAGACCACTCCTTTCCTCTGCAACCAAGAAGAACATGAGGAAGGGAGTACAGTTGACCTTTGAACAATGCAACTGAAAACTCATGGATAACTTTTGACTCCCCGAAAACTTAACTACTAATAGACTATTATGGCCCGAAGCCTTAACGATAACATAAACAATTAACACCCATTCTGTATATTATATGTAATATAAATTGTAATGGGAAGGGGGTGAGGGTATGGGGGAATAAATGGTGATGGAAGGAGACTTGACCTGGGGTGGTGAACCCACAATATACAGATGATGTATTACAGAATTGTACATCTAAAACCTATATAAAATTATTAACCAATGTCACTCCAATAAATTCATTAAAAGAGTAAAAAACAACAACAACCTGTATTCTTACAATAGAGTAAGCTAGAGAAAAGAAAATGTTATTAAGAAAATCATAAGGCGCCGAAACCGGTTTGGCTCAGTGGATAGAGCATCGGCCTGCGGACTGAAAGGTCCCAGGTTCGATTCCGGTCAAGGGCATGTACCTGGGTTGCGGGCACATCCCCGGTGGGAGATGTGCAGGAGGCAGCTGATCGATGTATCTCTCTCATCGATGTTTCTAACTCTCTATCTCTCTCCCTTCCTCTCTGTGAAAAATCAATAAAATATATTTTAAAAAAAAAAAAAGAAAATCATAAGGAGAAAATACACTTACAGCATTTGCTAAAACCAATCAGCATATATGTGGACCCACACAGTTCAAACTCATGTTGTTCAAGGATCAGCTGTAGTTTGGAATACATTTTACTCATTACCAAGCAGCAGGTTGAAATGCAACCCCTTCAGAGAATACTTGACAGTGGCTGTGAACAGGCACTGGGGGTGGAAAGTGGTGGAAGGGTCCCTGTTCAAGGGGGGTGGGGCAGAGCCATGTCCCAACCCTGCCGGGGAGATGAGCCTTCACCCTGGGGAAAAGCTCAAGGGCAGAAACCTGCAAACTTCCTCCAGCTCCCCATTCCTGCAGCTAACAATCTACTTGGTTCTAAACTATTTCCTTTATTTCTACAATGCCCTGACTGATCAAATTTAAGCACAGTGATTTTATTTCTAGGGATAGAAGAAAAGAGCTGAACTATCAAATGTCCAACAATTTTGCCATCTTTCTAAGAATAAGAAATTAAGTCACCCTTTAGATCTATGTTTTCTACATACATAAAATGAAAATTGTTTAGCAATTGCAGCAGGCTATTTCTAAACATCTAACTGATCTCATTGCTAGTTTTAATGTCACCCAAAGTTTCTTCATTTCTGTGAAGCTGTGGAGCACCAGAATAGACACATCATTTAAATATATCCCCTGAATTTAGAGTAAGTGTGAAAAAATTGGATCATAGCTCCCAGCATTTACCAAGTATTCACTACTAACTGGTGTAGTACAAAGCCCTCCATGCACACATTGTTTCATTCAATCCCTACAGCACTGAGGAGGCCACTACACTCTCATTGTCTTGTGGGACACTGAGGCATCAGAAAGGCTAAGCAACCTGACCAAGGTCACACAGTCAATGCTTCAGTGGAAACAGAATGCAGGCCATTGGACCCCAGGTCTGTGCTGTCTCCAGATATGTTTAAACCTGAGTTCAAGCTGGTGGTTTGCTCAGGGATGAGGAGCACAAGGGAGTTCAGAGCCACAGCATAGTGTCCCACTGGGCATGAGGCACCATATTTCCTTATAAGTGAAGGAAAAAGCCCTCTGCACTGTCCTGCATGGTCTTTGGGCTGCCCCAACAACAGGGGCCCGCTGTCTCTCTTCTCCCTGGAGAAAAGCTGGGGAGAAGAGGTGCTATTTTCAAAACATGTTAAAATTTAATTTAAAAATGTTTTCAAAACCTTTTCAGGCACCTAGTAGACTAATAAATACTCGTAGGAGCAGAAATATTCATGTTTATAAATTCCACACAAATACTGGTAAAAGTGAGTGTCTCAAATTTTGCAGAACTCCATGTGTAGAGTGTGTAAGGAGGGTGTGGATTTCACATAGGAATGTGGGATTTAGGTTTTAGGGCTTTCAGTCTGAAGTCAGCAGCAGCAAAGCTAGAATTCAAGTCCAGATCACACCTGTTCATGTCCAGTTTGATTCCCACACCCTGTGGCCTGGATGAGGCTAAGCCAGGAGATCCAGGGGACAGATGGAGGAAGAGGAGAAAATTAGGGAGAGGGGCCGGGGCTTGGAAGAACAGCAGCCAATGTCACCAGGCTTCTTGCAGCACACAGTTCCCAACTCACAAAAGGGTTAGGTCCAAGTGTTGTCTTGAAATTTGACAGGCGCTTTCCATAGAATCAATTGTTACTGCAATGGTTGGTTTGGCAAGACAGCCTACAAAAGGTCTGTGACCTTGGTAAGTCATCCAAACCCAGATACAGAGGAAGAACCCAAACTCCAAAAAAATTACTATGTTTTATAATTTGTTTACATTATTTTGTTTAGTGATATTTTCCCCCACAGATAATAAAAAGCCAAAAGTCAACTTTCAATTTCATTATCAAGGTAGTACCATTTAAATAAATAGCATATTAGCACTTAAAAAAACTCATAATACTCAATGCTGGTGAGGCTGTAGTAAAATAAACACCCTTATATATGCTGGAGGAAGAATAAGTTGGTATAACTTCACTGAAAAGTAATTTGATACTTTGTGTTAAAAACCTTCAAGATGGGGGTAATTCTATTTTTTGAAATCTATCCTAAGAAAAAATCCTTAGACACATGGAAAAGATTTCTGCATGAAGATGCCCATCGCAGCATTATCTATAATAGCAAAAAATTAGAGAAAAAAAAGTGTTCTCTTTCCCATAGCTCTTATTCCCTCTATCATAACATAAAATGTACTTATTTATTATTTTATGATTTATTCCCTATCTCCCCCTGACAGAGTATAAGCCAAAGGAAAGCAGGCTTTTTGTCTCTCCTGCTCACTGATGCTTCCCACGTGTCAGAGCCATCTCTGGCACACGGTTGAGATAGTCAATAAATACCCATTGACAAAGTAGCCTCTCCAGGCTGTCGGATGCCCCCGCCCCTCTCTCATTTCCCTGCTCATAGCACAAATCAGTATCTGAAATTATGCCACTGTTTGCATGTCACTGTCGCAGATGTTAGGAGCATACTGAAAGAGAGGACCCTTGTCTGTCTGGCTCACCATGGTCTCCCAGCATCGAACAGTGTCTGGCACATGGTAGGAGCAGAACCAGTATCTGTGGACTCTGACTTTCTCTGAGCCCTCATCCAGGCAGTCATCAGGCTCTGGCCTCCCTCCCTCACTTCTCCGCCTCCTCATCACACCTCATTTGGACTCTGGACACTCCACATTTCCCATACTTCCTCTCCCCCATTTGCCCTTGAAGATCAGATTCTTTTTCCAAAGCACGACTCTAACAGCCCAGTCCTTCGTAGATAACTTCTTTCAGGAACCCTCACAGCCACCTTTGAGTCTGGGCTCCTGCTCCCCCGCTACAGGGGCCTTTTGTCCCCCTCTTGACCAGTCTCTTCTAGGCCCGAAATTCCTGCCCCCATCTTCCCTCACTTCATTTCCTCTCTGTGGGGAATCATGTCTCATGATCTCTAGTATCTGTCCTACCCACTCTCTAAGCACTTCATCGCCTCCTTCGTGGCAGTTCTCCCTGATCACTCCAGGACCTTGTTTTGGTCACTCCCTGAAAGGAAGAGTCAGAGCGAATTCTGAGGTGTGATGTACTAAAACAGGTTCCCCACACAGCCCCACGCAGGAGGCTGATCAACTGTGTTAAACTTTTTCTTTTCTGACACCTCA